CAAGGGCTACGGGTCTTATTGTTAATTATACATTAATGATAATTAAATAATAATTATTTATACCTTGGTTCCTTTGTATCAGAATCACCACCTTAAAGTTATGAAAAGGAATGTATGATTAATAAACTAATTATTATCAGGATTATTACCTGGAGGAGGTTTGGTGGCGTGATGTTTATAGCATGCTGGATTCTAGATTTAGTGGTGGGGATCACTGCATTATTGTGTTCTCGTGTTCTCATATATAGTTTGCCAAAAATCAGTCGACACGAAGATTTTTACGGCCCAGGCACAACTACATGCGTTGTGTACTATAATTATGCTTTTCAATAAGCCTTGATTTCACTTGAAGCAATTCAACTCGATAGCTAGAGCTTTCAACCAAGCATCTGTCAACTGTCTTCGACTTGTGAGCCGATTTTAAAGATATTCTCCAAGCATTTTACGTATTAATTCCATGAAAACGGAAGAAAACTGTTTGGCAACGAGAAGCAAAGTTGAAAACACTTCTTAAAATCGCAGAATTCTGAGTTTTTCCTTACCTCCATACAAAAACTTCTCATCATCTTCGTCCGCCATCTTGAATGAGCATGTGGGATGACTACCCAGAGCGCATACGATTACGTGGAAAACCGCTGATCGTCCTTTCGCCGGTTGTCTTCTGTCAATATGGCCGACGATAGCAGCTCTTTGTTTTGTGATGACGATGAAACATGCGTGAAAAATGTCAGTGAATCTGAAGATGACGGCGAAACTTATGTTTCAGCACCAATAGGTTAGTTCATGCTAACTTTTTCCGGTGGTTTCTGTGTTCTGTGGGGTCTTTTTGGCGTGATTTCCATTGCTGTCGTCCCGCCCGCTTTTGCGATGTTGTTGTACTTTTGTCCGGGCTCACCGCCAAGTTTTCCCCATTCAATAGGTGATCTTTTGATTTATGGTTTTATTACTCTTTAATTCAACTATAGACAAGCTTGGACCTGTTGGAAGATGGCTTCGACATCGTCTTCTCAGCTCTATACTGATTGGAACCCCGCCTCTGGTTGCTCTTCAGGTAAATTTTTGCCTTTTTAATTTGCAGCGCACAGATATTGTAAACCATCCGGCTTTTTACTTTCCTGGCTTCGCCATATGTTTCATGAGCATTTCTTTCCTCTTTTTGAGTTAATACCGCTTTCCTTCGCTGTATTTAGGGGATATGGGTTCGATATCGATGCGATTTATTTTTTGGGCGCCGTATAGCGTGTGAACGTAACGGGTACGTGTTTTGATTTGAGTTTTAATGGTCATTCGATTTCGCAATCGATAAAACAAATTCAATTTCGAGGCACAATTTGATATATTTAGGAAGCCGGGGGTGATGACAAGCGGAGCAAAGTACAAATTCTTTTGTTTAGTTTATTTTTTTTTCTACGTGAGATGAATTTAGCAAAGGGGGTCTAAAACATATAGAATGCGAATGTGGAACGTTCTCGAAGAATTAATTCATTGATACGCTAAAATTGACCGCGTTCTGTCGCACAAGAAAAAATCATGTGTTACCCTCGAGGAATCAAAGGGCAGAAAATTTCCACTGATATTTTATTTCATTTCTTGATGTTGGTAGTTGTACGTTGCAAACAGCTTGACGCACGCAGTTCTAAAGATTAATATTTTTTTTCTTCTCCTTCTATTTTTGATCAGAAGCGATTGATAAACCGTGGTCAATTTACAATAATTGTGTTGTGCCTTGTATGTTTCTGCTAAGTTGCCTGTTGTGTGATGGAGAAGATTTTTAGCTATTTAAAAACTCAACACGTCCCTCGCCAGACTTGCATAAATAACAGCTGACAAATTATTGTTTATATTTTTGATATTGGTTTCTTTATCAAAGCTTATCCCACAGTTTTTAAAATGATATGTTTTTTGTTGTGTTCTTTTAATCTTCCATGGTAGTTATATGTTTACTCTCTTTAGTTATACACCCCAAAATTGAAACATTTCTACTTTGAAATAATATGTATGTTCATATTTTTCATGAACTTTGTGAAATGTGGTCTTCGGAAATGGGTACATGCAATGTATTTGAAGTCAGTGACATTGTTATTGACAGTTTGGTGATTTTAGTATAACGGACTGACAGTTTACTGATGGGTACTGCAAATACTAATTAACAAAATGTTGAAACAGGTGTGTATGCTGAAAAGTGAAAATATTATGCCAAAATTGGTCGTAAGATCACCTTCCTTCTACCTTTATTTTTTATTTATTTTTTTTTAAACAATAAGGGAGTCTCTAATTTGTTTGTCCTATTCAATACTATCAATATGTTTTGGATGAGTTTTGTTGGTAAAGGTTACCTTGGCAAAAAAACCGTATCTGAAAAACATTTCTGTAGTAATCCAGAGCTCAGGATAAGGAATTTTCAAGCAGGGTTCGATCAGAATACTTCATCCAAAAGATATCTGTAATTTGTTTTAGAACCAAAAAAAAAAACAAAAATTAGAAATCTTGAAGACAGTCTGACTTACAATTTAGCAAACTTGCTTATGTATAATCCCTTACGCCAAATGTGTGAACAAGATTCTAATGCAAAGTCTGTCAGGAATAATCAGTAACAACTCAGGCATAGATTTTGCGACATAACAAATTATAAGGTAACTAATGAGCTCAGATAGAGTTTCTTAGTATTTAAGTTACTGAGCAGAATATTCATGAACAGAGCTTACACTGTAACCTTTACTCTATTTTGGCCTAGGAACTTATACAGGAGTAGAATAGGCAATATATTGCCACAATGCCCCCCCTCGTATGCAGAAAACACTAGTTTATGAGAAGAATTTATCTGAAATTTCCACTTTTTAAAACACCAATTTTTTCATTCCCCTCTAGTTTCCAATATAGCAGAATTATTCTGATACTTTCTTGCAGGAATTAATTTATTATTTTAATTTGTGATCTTTGAAAGACTATGTTTTAGTAAGACTATTTTGTACTTTTCAGTTTTCAGTTTCAAGGTTTGATTCTTACAACATGTATGCCTCTTGTTAGATTTTATACAGCACAGTTTCTCACCACTTTTTTGATGTCTATTTTTGCCTTAACAGCGAAGACGTACCCCGCTATGGACAAAGATAATGAAGATAAACAGCTTTTTTGGCACAGAAGACTTTTATATAATCATGGGTGTTTTTATACTTTGGTAGGTAAACCTTATTTTATCATTAGGTAGAATGTTCAGGGAATTGCATGCACCAGGCAGTGATCTATACCATCCTGAAAAAATCAAAATCCAGGAGAACGTCCATTCTGCCTCTTACTAAACCAATAAAACATATTATATATTGATGAGTTCTGCTAATTCAACCACTTAAATGCATCAGACGTCATGAAAAATGTCCCAAAACTGGCCAAAATAAGTGTGAAGATTGTACACTTCCTTCAAATCCAGTGATTTACTGACCCATACTGGAGAACAGGAGAGTCGGTCTGTACTCAGGTGACTCTCAGATAATCCAGGACTCTTGGCTTAAATGACTTGAATTGGTCAACTCATTTTGCTATAGCTGGACAAAGCTCATGACCTCATCACAAGACTGTATGCTTTATCAAGTTACATATATACCGGGCTTACGTGTGTCGTTAGTTTGAACTCAGTGAATTTCTTGAACATTCAAAAGAAATACTGGTAGTCAACTTGCACCTCATGCATCGTCAAGGTTATATTTAGAAACCATTATGAATTTTTTAAGAACACGATCATGAGAAGTACATGTACAAGAAACACTTGGCTACATCTTGTACTTCTAGCTGTGCAGTTACTTCTCTCCTGTTCTTAAAAATTTCTGCATGCCTGTACATGTATAACTCAACAATGCACGTGTGCTCATGAACTACAGTATTCTAATATTGCCATTTGCAAGGTACATAGCTTTTGCCTATGAATGCCTAGCCCTCGTGTTAGATCAATCAAATACAGGCTGTTGAGCTGTACTTAAATCGCATTCTTTACATAGATCTGGCAGCAGTTGTTCAAAGGCTGGACAACACTATCCACCAGATAGGTCATTATCCAGAGGATGCATGTTAAAAAGGGAACCACACTATCCACTGGAGAGTGATTTATCCGGTGGATACCATTATCCACCTTTTGAAAAACCCAGGCCTGTACTTTGCAAAATAAAATGAGCAATTTTTGTTCAGTTTTGAACTTAAGTATCTTTGAGATCAAAAGGAATAAAATTTGCAGTGACAGTAATCAATCCTCACATGCTTTACTGTGTGTCTTTGTTGTTAGTTTAAACACAGCATTTCCAAATATTTTAATTTTCAAGCTATGTCCTTCTACACCAAGCAACCTAGTAGGTTGTTCAACTACAGGTATCTATCTGTACTAGTTTATCAGAATTGTGAAAGGTTCATATTACATGTATGTCATGTTTCTTTTGATAGGATTGTTGATGCCAAACTTGGGAGATTGTTATGCCTGCTGATGGGTGTCGGGTTTTACACTGCTGGATTCCTTAAGGTAATTATGCTACAATATTAGCAAGCCTGCAAATAATTTTTGTCTATAGGCAGGTCATTTGTCAAGACAAGGACAAGTTTTGACCTGACAAAAAGCCAGTCTGGTCAGACAAAAAAAATTGTTTGTGGTTAGAAATTAAAAAGAGACATTTGAGACATTTGATATTTCAGTGTAGACTCTTTGTCAAGATATTGGTTGCAAATTCAAATAGCTTAAAAGTCAACTGAGTGTAAAATCGCTACTAGCACCAGCAAGGGGAACTTCACATTACGTCTGGTATTATTTTACCTGTTGAAAATTGACAAATTTACAAACGTTTATACCCCTAGTCACACAAGCYTTTCCAACGTAACAAGTTTCCCACGACGTCTAAGGAAAACGGGAAAAGCYATGAAAAAATCMCCCGCGTGGACAGCTTGTCAGTATAAAACCTCACAATAACATTCATAGACTTGAAAATTGACTTTTTTTGAAAGCAAGTTTCCTCTGAAAGTTTTCAGGGTCAATTGAATGAAAAATTTGCGTAATTATTTAAAATGTGGAATTGGAGGTGTTCGTAACTATAAAGCGTGACTAATTTGTACATTCACGCTTTTCACAAAAACATGTCTGTGGTAAGGAAACTATATTTCAACCACACTGACAGACGTAAAAAAAACTATAGAGAGTTGAAAATTAAACTGATTTTTGATAATACAGACTAGAAAAACATTTGGTTACGTTTTAGAGGTTTTAAAGTTTTTGAAAGTGATTGCATTCAGATAAAGGAAACGTGAGAATTTGGGCCCTGTATTCAATTTCCATAATATTTTAATCGGGTCAATGTATTACGACTGAAAATTAATTCCACAACATTTGGTGGTAACAAACAATGAGTAATTACGTAAGACCTCAGTTTTAAGTAGTTTTTCAGACGAACGTATTTCAGACTAAATGGGGCTTCACGATCTTTCACAATGCCACTGCAAAATGCATATTTAAATTAACAGGTAGGAATAGTGGTGCTGATATGATGTGTTTACAATTCAACATAACATTTGAGATGATGCACTGTGCGTGATAAAATTCTCAGAATTGGAATAAAAACAAATCCGATAACAAAGCTTTTTTGTGTAGTATTGTGTGGCAGTATAACAAAATAACTTGTACCATATTCGGCCACAAATTTTCAGTGAAAATATTTTTCACTTTAGCAGAAATGCCCGGTCAGAGTGTTTGACCAGGCTAAGCTTTTACCTGTCAAAACCTCAAATTTACCGGACAATTGTGCGATGACCGACTGTTATTTGCAGGCTTGTATTAGTATCACGGTCTACGTTGAAATCCAACTCTGTCCCTCATACCTGTGTAGTTTGTATTCCTCCCTCCCCTTGGGATCACATGGAAGGAGTTACTTGTGAGGACAGGTCCTGCTTGTAATTAAATAGTCATCATATACAGTATTACAATATTTAATTTTGTTCTTTACTACATTGCAAGCTCAGTGAAGTTTGTGGTATTATCACTCTCCCTGTTTTAATCTGAAGTTTTGAAGCCAAAATGTTTATTTTTCATTTGCATCTACATTGTAGTACCAAATTTTTCTTCTTTAGGGAATAAAAATTTGATGTCTTTCATAAATGGTGATTTTGCCGAGCTAGTTGCAATTCAAAGGGAGCAGGCCTGCATTCATAGACATGTCTCACTCCAACATTTGGCACGTGCCTCTGATTAACCTGGTTGTACGATATCTTCTTTTTCCTCTGCTCCTAGAATCGTTATCCTTAACTTGTTATGACTGGAACTGCAAATTTATGTTATGATCACTTAGTTTTCACTGGTATAATACATGTAACCCAAGTGGTTGAATAGAACTTATGAATGCTTCAATGAGTGTTTTCTTAAACAAATTTTCTTTAATAACGTAATATGTCAATATTACAGGACATCCTTTGCCTTCCTCGGCCATCGAACCCACCAATAGTTTCCCTGGAGAATGCTTCCCAAACTTGGTAGGTAAAAAGGAGACTGAAGACTGTTTCTTGAGCTATACATCTAGACCATAATGACCCCTCAGGCTCATCATCATCATTATCATTGCTTTTGTTTTAATATCATATTTAAAAAAAAATATTATTATCATTGTCATCATCATGCTCATCATCATCGTCAGTTGCCTCTTCTCAAGTATGCACATGTTTTCATGTATACATTGTAAGGCTGCATGATTCTGTGTTCTAGTTGGTGACTCCTTATCAGTCCCTCATTCAGTCTACAGTAAGCTGTTGCTACATGTACATTTGCAAGCACGTTGCTTAAGTGGCATTTTCCTTTTAGCTATACTGTGATACTAATATTCTGTATGTATCTTGTCTTTTTCTCAGGGGTCTTCCTAGTCACCATGCAGTTTTGGGTGTACTTATTCCCTGGTATGTGTTATGAATTAATATTGCTTAGTAAAGATATACTTTCTTTACATGTAGAGTGAATAAATGTTCATTTGTGTTTTGTCCATTCATGTGTTAAATAATTGGAACTGTTGTTGATTGTTTTTCTTCTCTTTGAATTGCAGGTATATTTGGTTTTACTCTTACATACACTTTTCTATGCCTCAGTGGGGATTTACAGTGCTCTTTGTATTTATTGTAACTTGTAAGTACAACATGTATTTGGTGTTTTATGTTGTTTAATTTTGGAAGATAACTTTTAATTAGTGGATGTTTGACTACTCCTTTAAGGGCAGCACACACTAGGGGACATGTTGCATGGATGTAAAGCAGAGACAAGCCCCATTGTGTGTAAGCATAGGGCAGGTGTTCACAGGGATGTTAAGCTAACTGGTGCTCAGGAAGGAGATATTGGTTCATCTCTTTGTTGGCAAAGTAGGGACTGTTTGCAAGAGCAGTGCACACGATGCAACAAGGAAAACTGAGGTCATTTTGTCCCTACTTCATGATGCACAAATTCAAACCAACTGAATCTCATGTAACATGATTTTGTTGTCCCTGCAACAAAACTCCTTTGCAAAAATGGACAGGAAAGCTGTGACTGCAGCATGTGCCTGCTTCATGTCTCACAAGGTGTCCCGGCCCTTACATGTATGTGTGCCAACCTCTTTTTGTGCCTCTGAATGTCCCTTAGAATGTCTGCTTATGTTTCAAATAACTCTTTGTAGCTCTTCTAAAATTGCTTGACTGTCCTAGAGGCAGAATTTTTAGCTATTCTAAAAAGATCTTTATTTATTGTTAACTAACTAAATTATTGCCTTGAGGATAATTTTCCAAGTGCTCATTTCATAAAGTTGTGTTTTTCCAAGTCGAAAGTGTGTGACTACCCAATCAAGTAAACTGTCCTACATGTATGCTCTCTTAATTTTTTCGCAGGGTCCGTCTCAGTGATGTTTAGTCGGCTGTATTTGGGTGTCCACAGTCCGGCAGATATCGTCGTTGGGGGAATTGTGGGATGTTTTATTCTGGCTTACTGGATAAAGATTGACTCCATCTTGGATAGATACATCAGCTTTGGGGATAATGGTGAGCCCTTGATTATTTCTAAAATTGTCTCAAACTACGTAGTTCATCAAGTTTTAACACTTTAAGGAAGTCATAATGGTGACAGTGTTTGAATATCTACTCTTATCCATAATAAGTATAGATTTTTGTATGAGATTTATATAATTTGAATTGAATCCTAAACACCAAGCTAAAGTTATCAAGAATACTCCACTGCAAGTCTTTCACGCATTCACGTTGTCACAACTTGATTTCAGGATGAGATCACAAACAAACTGAGATTAACCCTTGTCTTTGAAAAAAATTACTTGTAACCAACCCTTTTTGTTAACTACCAAAGGGGCAGATTGACCTGAATGTTCACATAAATACTGCAATATCTGTATTACATGAAGATTACTGGTAATACAACTGTGTCTCGTGGACCAAGTGATTTGTAAAGGTCTATAAGGAGGGGTCCAACTGTACATTGTTTGAGAATTTTAGTCAGTAGTGCATACATTAGTTAGCTCTCAGGTGCATTGTCCTCTGTTTGGCAAGTACTAGTCTAAACAGTAAAAAACGTTAATATTGGTCTTGACAAGTCTTTTTTTTTTTTTTCATTCCCACTAACAGTTGTTCTTCAAGCCATTGTTTATTCCTTGTTATTGCTGTTTGTTCACCCTCGCCCAGAGCCCCGCACAAAGTCGCTGGTTGAAACAGTATGTATGAAACTGAGTAATAACTATGTATTAACTAACCGAGAGTTACGTCTTTACAGGAAAATTCAAACCGAGACCTTACCGTATTGGCAGAGCAATAGCGAGGTCAATATGGAAGGACTGAGGTTGGAGATTAAATTCCCATAAAGACTGTCTGAATATTCAAAATTCGACATTCAAGCCATCTAATAACTTGTTAGGCATGTTGTAGTCTGACAGTACCTGTTTAAATTTGTGAATGCAAAGCAATGAACAAGTTAAGCAGTTTTTTGAGGGAAAATGGCAAAATACTTTTTCCTTTTATTCTCAGGTTTCAATGATCGCTGTCACAGTTGGTTTTGTAATCGGCAAAGCCACATCCCCAAGACAGTCGCCAATTTACAAAGCAGTCCTGGACCTTGATACGGGTATGTGTTTACCTTGTGTTTCCACTGAAATGTTTCGTGAACCACACACTAGGTTTTTAAGATACTGTGTAACTTTTGATACTATGAGATAATCATGCTCTATTTGTCGCTGTTTTGTTTATTATATAGATGACGTTTCCTATTTCACCTTGATTTGGGTTTCTACTCTGCGTCTGTTACTTGGTAGGTGTAGATGTTGTGGTTCAATATCACCCATTAGAAAAACAGTTATTTTGCACTCCACTTGAAAAAAATCATTTTGTTTATGACTCACAAAAATGCCCTTTCAATGTTCTTGACTACTTTATTAGTATAGGTAATCATACGGTTTCGAGTTCAATTTGAAATTAATTTGCACGAGTGAGTTTTTCAAAAAGCTGAAATTGCACGAGCCACTTCGGCGAGTGTAATTTCAGCTTTTCGAAAAACTCACAAGTGCAAATTAATTCCAAATTGAACGAGAAAAACCGTATGATTACCTATTAATAATATAAACATGAAAAAATTTGCGCGGAGGAAGTGCCGGAAGATCTTTCTTGAAGCCATTTTTTCTCATTTGAGAAAACTTTTTTCAAAGTTTCAGCCCAAAATTTTCGTCATCATTTTACGTGATATCATTGTCTTAGAAAAGTTCCTATTGTCTTTCAGTCAATCGTAATCCAGAATTTTGATGTGTAATTTGCACTGGTGTTACACTTTTTGCACTGATGGTACACTTTTTGCACTGATGTTACACTTGAACTGCACTGCTCTTAGCCAATCAGAATCGAGTAATTTTTTCATGTGTATTATTATAATGATAATAAGTATAGTATCATTGCAATGTCCTTTTTTCTTCAAGGGTATGCACTCGTGTTGCTCACCAGGCTGCTCTGTAAAATTGTGTTCAGAAGTTTGTTGAAAAACCTTTTCCGAGTGATGGACCTGGAGTGCTTTGAGATCAAGAAGGTTAATTACGACTCAAGTACCAGATTGTACAGTCCTTCCTTCAAACTCCCTCCGGTGTTTTACAAGGTAAGAATTCTGCAGCAGTGGAGAAATTTTAATGGCATTTATCAAATGAGGAGAGTTTTTGATGTAATATCTTGTATTTCATATGTATTGCATGGCCAGCCATGCTCAGAGTTTTTCTGTCATCATTGTTTTGTGGTTTTTCGGTTTTTCAGTTGTAAACATTTGAAATCACAAATAAAACAATTGGCTTTGTTGATAAAAAAAAATTTCAGGTAAGATTTCTTACATGTTAGTTTGCAAAACGTAGGTGTCATCAAATATTACCCCTCTAAAATCACAAAATTGCAATGTAGGTAAATGTTACATTAAAAAAAAAGATCTAGGCAAGGGTACTGTATTTAATTTAGTTTTATTTATTTAGTTTTATTTCAGTAGTGTTTTATTGAACACCCTGTACCACAAACCAATACTGTGTTGATCAATGTTAAAAAGGTGTTGATATTTTGTCTAAAAGAAAACTTCATACTTTACCTTTTTTTTTACACAGGGAAAGAAACGAAGCAAGAAGTCACAGCCTGATTCTGAAGATGGTAACCCAAAGTGGAACATGGAATATGTTGTCAACTATGTGACATATCTGTGTGTTGGATGGGTGGCGATAAGTGGTGTTCCACTTCTGTGTCACAGTGTTGGGCTGGTATTGTAGGGCAGCGTAGTACCAATATTGGCACTTTAACCACTAACAATATAGTGCTGTTTATAGCAATGCACTCGCGCCAATGTACTTGTAGTCACCAAGCAGCATTCTCCTGAGATGCTGAAATCCAATGTATGGGTGATTTTCATCAATTATTGTGTAGTATTCAAAGGTAATGTCAGTTAACCAACATGTATGAGTTTAAAGTGTAAGTAGTTTGTTTGGGGCCATACCTTAGTAGGATTTCAGCCTTAGCAAGGTGAGCCAGCTTGTTCCCTTAATAACAATATATATAACCATGGCTCTATCACACCATAAGTGTAGTTCTAGTGGTTGTAGGGATATTTGAAACGTGCAGACAAGATATTTTAATTGACTTAAATATTGCAATAGACTAAAATTCAAGAGTCTTGCATTCCTTTCACTCCTTGCTTCTAAGTTAAGAGAAAAGAAGATCTGCGGAAATTTTGCACAATCATTTTCCATTCAGGTCTGCTGACGGACCGTTGTGCAACAATGTTGTCATGTGCATTGATCCAAAGCGGCAAATTTAGGCCAAAACTTGAAGATCTTGTGGAAAGCGAGTGCATGAATTAAATTGTCAACAATACAGCTGTTCAGGTTCAAAGTATTAATACAAATACGACAGCATTCTTCGTAAGTACAAGTACAAACACTGAGTGAAGTCCAAATTGACTCCTTGATGACAGCTACAGAGAAACAGAATAATTTCTTCTGTCTTCTTTTCTCCATTTAAGCAAACTCTGTTCTAACCCAGAGTTAAAACCATGAAAGAGACATCTCATTGTTAATGTTAATTTGAAATAAGTTATTTTAAGTACCTTGATTGGAGTTTTCGTTTAGATTTACATTTTATTTTGCTAGTAACATGTGCAGTATACATAGTAAAAAACACATATTTGTCAGTAAACAGTGGATAATATGACCTCAAATAATTTAGACATGGGCAGTGCATTTATGAATTGAAGATACGTGTACATGGAAGAAAAATAGCTGAAAACTATTGAGAGAGAATTATAAAAGATTTAAAACGCAATCGTGTATGCACCGGTATGTTGGAAGATTTCCCTGATAGAAATTTGTTATTTGTATACTCGGGTTTTCTGGGGCGTGTAGAAACGCAGAAATACAAAAGTAACCTTACATACAGTTGAAGGAGCTTAGTCACAGCATTTTGGGTTATTTAGGCCACGTACAAAATTGTCATTAAACTGAAGGAAACCTGAAAATAGTAGTTTAGTAAGATAGCGAAACACCAAAGAGATACCAATAAACCATAAAGGAACAAGGATGGTTAAGGATGGACAAGATTAATACGGATTACAAACAATGAAGTTGAAAAACTTAGGCTTGACTTTTCAAGATGCGAAAACGGTGACATAGCTCCTTTTAGCTGAAACCTTTTTTCACAGGTCACAGGTTGTTCTGTTCGCTTTTGGACTTAGTTTTGTTATGCAGCACCTTTGGATCTGCTGTAGTTGTCTAGCATTTCTATTTGCCTTATGTACACTGTATATAAGTTTAATTCGGTTCAATTGACATTTAGTAGTTATTAATTTTGCCAAATATGTTGGGCGGTTCGGAAACCAGTGAATTATAAAGAAATTCCAAATATTTATTTGTTCCGATTTTCATCCTTAATCGCAATTGTTCATCAAGTTTAGCGGCGGAAAATAACGGAATTTTTAAAAGTGTTGGCATAGATGTTAGAAAGTCCGCTATGAATTGGTTAGTTTAATGCTTTTCGTGGTTTTGAATGGATTTCGAGGAGGCGAATAAGAAGGGGAAAAATCCCTCAAATTGCCTATTCAATGAAGCTTTTTTTGCCCCAAAATAAAAAAATATATATCGTCACATTTAAATTTAAGATACTTGGTTGGTTTTCGTTTTTCTGCAACGAGGTTGAAAATGGTAACAGGTCGGATAATCGAACATGGAATTTGTCAGAGATAAGATAAAAATTTATTGTAGGTTTGAAAATTTTTATAACATTATTGATCGTATCAAATTAGTGTTATTTGTGTACAATTTTCCACGCATTTGTTTATAGTCCTCGGAAATTTCAAGACAACAGTTCTCGTATTTAACTATATTTCGATTTAATCGTTCATTGAAGAATCCCACTATGGAGCAGGTGTCGGGTTATTTGTCGTCGGAATACTCGACGATTCTATGTATATTATTCTCCAATCACAACATCGAACGAACGATCACGAATTCTTCGTTGCTTAGAAACATCGCTGAAAATTCTGACCGAAAAAGACTGGTAGGTAATAGTCCATATTCGTATTCTCGGTATTGGACTGCAACTAGCTTGCAATGGAGGCTCATGCGGGGAATATCATTAAAAAGAGATTAACGTCATTTACATTTGAAAAGACTCCCCGCATTAGCCTCAGTTGCAAGCTAGTTCCAGTCCAATACCGGGAATACGACTATGGTCTATTCTGATTCCTAATTCGGTTTTAACAGAAACGAAACATCATCAACGAAAGAACTTGAAAATTTCAGGAAAATGTTCTGCCTGTAAAGGGATTCTTCACGACTGGCTTTCCAATTTATTGTCGTCTTTTTGCTTCAGGTACAGTTTCCTTCTAAGCTGTTGTTTGGGTCATTAGCAGCGTTTTGTGAAGGCCCCAATAATGGACTTAAGGGAATTTCGTCAGTTTAAGCTTATGTAAAATAAATTGATTTAAAATGTTAGAACCGCAATATTAAAATGCTATTTACTGTCATTGATTGCAGGAACAAGTATTTAATTTGTTTGGGCCCAATAACGTTTAAATATTTTCACATGTTCTTTAGCAGGAGGTGCAAGTGCCAACTATGAGCTATCTACAAAAATCACACGAACGGTTTCCGACATGTCAAAAACAAACACGAGCACATACGAAGATTGTGACGTCATCACGATGCGTTACGTTACTTAGCAACTCCTTTCAAAAGCCCGGATTCTGCGCATAAAACTCAGGTGCTTGTTCCTCCCGAGTGACATGTGAGCTTAAAATTGTTATCATGTAAGATGAGGGACATTGGAAATTGAAAATAAAATACTCCCATTACTGTCAGTGTGGCTCTGTTCTTGATTGTTAAAAAAATGCACAATTTTGTTTGAACGCTTCGAGGAAATGACCTCGATAAGAACATGGTATGAATTTGTGAAAGAAATTTTTGCCTGAAATCTTCCGTGTCGTTGGCTTAGTGAGTAACACAATTTATTTCCTCGGCAATGTTACTTTAACATGTCCTAGACTTTAGTACTCCGACTTTATCAAAAGTTCAATAACGTCAAAATTAACAAAAACGCAACGGCGGGACTCTATATATGTCAGCAGTAACATACTGTGAGTCACTTAATTTTCGCGTCATGTTATGTTCGCGACACTTGTTGAGGCTCGCAATACCAGGCTTAAAAATTCGCTACGACGGTTAATTAACATGAATCAAAGTGTTCTAATTAAAATGGTGGGGTTAGGTTCACTTTAAAAGAAAGAAGTGAAATTTCATTCTGTCGACAGAAGCTTTAAACGTTTAGATGTAGGATGCGAGATAAATTCAAACTTAACAGTGCGCGAATTCGTTCAAGTATCCATGTTTCATATATATATATATATATATATATATATATATATATATATATATATATATATATATATATATATGTTACAGTAAGGTCCGAGCAAATCAGTATTCAGCCATATCAGTATTCAGCTGGGGAGAGGAATTGTTCAATTATGGAGGGCAGAACATCGAAGTTTTGCAGGGGTTTTTCCGGTTATGGAGGGTTTTTTTTTGTTGAAGATTCACAATTGTTTGTCAGAAAGCGGACAAGGGACGTGATTTCTATCCACCTTGTTCTTATGTTAAGATACACACAAAAGATTTAACAAGAATTTACAATGGGAATATAATTGCTTTGGGCTGGAGATCGGACTGATTTAGTCATCCAGTCAGCAATATTGTTACAAGTGCCTCTTTACTTTTTGGGGGTGTCATTTTCAGTTTCATGTTGTCTCTTATGTTCTGTTATATCTCGTGTTTCTCATCTCATAACAGGTTTTTCGAGCGAGTCTCAGAAAAGAATGAAAGTGTCACGGTATTACCGGGAGTTGCAATTTGAAAACCTGCTGGAAGTAACTGTTCCCTTTTAACGTCATTGGATTAGAACTGACACAGAAACACCACGCAGCTGTCCGAGCGTATCCTTCCTGAACAACAAGCTTCACAAACGGGACGACAACCGAGACAGACTGGTGGCTAAAAAAGAAAAGAAGCTGGTTTACCTCGACTCGTCCCCAGACTACCGTGCACAGAACGCGACCGCCGGCTCCCCTGGAATGCTGGGAAGGTCATGCCAAAGCGAAAATCTCTTTGTAACTCTTGTAATCTGCGACACCAAACAGTAGAACATTACTAGCAAGTCAAACGTGGATGTAAGTTCGTGTGGTGCTGTACTGTTAAATGCAGGTTATGCTCCGTGAAGTATTCACTCACAACTTGTGTGTAACAAAGATGTTTTCTGAAAGAAAAAAAAAAGCAATACTTGAAGAACACTTTTGTAGTTCAGTCTTTAGTTTCTACGATCGAATAGTGAGCGAGAAATGCAGCCGAGTTATTAAATAACTGTCGCTAATATAAAACGCCGGGGAGAGTTAATATAGAGGATATTACATGCCCGCGCGTGGATACGAATTTTATCTTCGAGTTTTCAACTCGATATCTTATGAGGGAGCGCAGCGAACGAGTGAGATGTTGAGTTGAACACGAGAAGATAAAATTCGTATCCACAAGCGGGCATGCAATATTCTGTTTATTATGTAAACATACTAATAACGACGTTTTTGACGATTTTCCAAAGATTTCCGACAACTTTCCGAAATTGTTCTCCGAAGGCCAGGCAAACGCTTCCGAACATTTCTGAACATTTTACGAAGATTGCAGAAGACGACCGAAGAAGATCCGAAGATGTTTCGATCATACATCAACAAATTTAAGTGTAGTTTAAAGGGACAAAAGAGAAATGTTATAAAAAAGGAATGGACTGAATGATATCTTCACAGTGTGAAAGATAAAAATAGTATCTTCACTGCGCGCGATGAAGATGTGATTTTTTAGTAAAAGCAGGAAATGGGCTCCTGGTAAAAGGAAAAATCCTGGTATTTCGCTGGTGTTTATACAATAAAGTTCAGTATTGTAGCCCGCACTATCAACAAAGAAGAGAATAATTTTACCTATCATATAAAAGTCGAGGAAAAGGTTGTTGTTATTCATCGTGGTAGATGCAATAATAAAGTGTATTATCGTTTGTCTCACGATGTAGTCACTTGAGATGTAGATCGCGA